GTTTGTCGCAGCAATTCCCAGAGGAGCCAAAAGACGGGCACCGTCAGAAGCCCCGTCTGGAGAGGAAAGGGCAAACAAACTACGACGCGTCCCTGAGATACGGGGGACATGCCGCTCTGCAGAGCGGGCCAATCTCACAAAGACAAGCATTGGTGGCACCATGATTAATAAAGGAAGGAAGGACATTTTCAAAAAGGTTTTCACACCGTGGCCCAAGTCAGAATTGAGGGCCTGGTGCTCTACGAGAATGCACACCGAATGGGGTGGCCCTTCACCTGGACCTGAGGAGATGGCACATCTGGGCATGGGAAACTTCACAAGGGCAGACTCTGACCTGTCTAGCTAGGATGTTCCTGAATGTCAGCCAGAACCCTCCTGAGGAACGAGGGCGGAGAGACCTGGTCTCATGTACTTAGGGCGTGTGGTCAGGAGGAACTAGTCCCCGGAGGAGGACGTCTTGCTTGGTAACAGTAACGCAGAGGGCTAGTGGACACAAGGAGGGCCCTCGATGACATGGCTTCCCTGTGGCTGCATCCGTGGGCTCAGACATGCCGAGGTTGGGGAGGATGGTGCAAGACCGGGCAGTGTGTCCTGCCGTTGCTCCTGGCTCGCTGTGAATCGGAACTGACATGATATAGCTCTGAACAGCATCGCATGATGCGACGTCGTTACACGGCTTCATGCATCTCACAGGCAGGTAGAGTTTTGCTGAAGATCATCCGACAATAGCTGTAGCTAGCGGCACGTCAACAGGGAGCTGCCAGAGGGTCAGGCTGGATGCAGAAGAGCACATGGAACAAGGGGCATTATTGCTGATGGCGGGGGAATCTTGGCTCAGAGCAGAGAATGCCAGAGAGATGTCGCCTTGTGCTTTATTGACTGCGCCAAGGCACGTGGCTGTATGGGTCACAACCGACTCTGGACAGCCGTGAGAAGAATGGGAATTCCAGAACATGTACGTCATTGTGTTCCTGCAGAACCCGCACAGGGATCAAGAGGCAGTTGTGGGAAAAGAGCAAGGGAACACTGCATAGTGTGAAGCCGAGAAAGGTGTACATCGGGCTGTATCCTCTCGCCACACTTCTGCCATCCGTGTGCTGAGCAATCATTAGAGGAGCTGGATTCGGGAGGGAGGCAGGCTTATGAACAACCTGTGGGAGCAGGTGACACCGCCTCGTGTGCTGAAAGTGAGGAGGGCTTGAGGCCCTTGCTGATGAAGACCCAGGACGGCAGCCCAACTCCAGGTGAAGGAGGCGCCGGTCCTCACCACGGGACCAGCAGGTGACGTCCTGACCAACGGAGGAAAGACTGACGACACCCGGATTTCATCCTGCTCGGATTCACAGTCGGGGACAAACGACGAGCTGCCGTGGGTAGATCCGCCCCACAGACCTCGCTAAAGACTCGAAAGGCGGGGGGAGGGGGGTTACTCTGAGGACTAGGGTGCGCCTGACCCAGCCACGGTGTCTTCGGTCACTGCACTTGCACGTGAGAGTCGGACAAGGCTGAAGAAGAAGCGGTGCACGTGAAGGCCGGCACTGGAGAAGAACACTGACAGTACCACGGACTGCCAACAGAACCATCGGTCTGCCCTGGATGGAGGACGGCCAGACTGCTCCCTAACAGCAGGGACTGCGAGACCTGGTCTCACGGACTTTGGGCCTGTTGTCCAGAGAGACCAGTCCCGGAAGCAGAGCATCCTGCTTGGCAGTGGAGGGGCAGCGACAGAGAGGAAGACCCCCGAAGGTGGGTCGGCACAGTGGCCGCAGCCACGGGCGGACATAGTGACGCGAAGACGGTGCAGGACCGGGCGTGGTGCCTGCCTTTGCGCTGGAGCCACCGTGCGTGGGAGCTGACTCCGTGGCACCTCACCATGACTGGACATCTGTAGTTGACGCCTGGCCGGCTCAGCCTGGGACCACCCCGGGGCGGCCACAGGGACCTCGGCAGTGATGGCAGGGACACTGGCCCTCGAACAGGTCCGGGCGTCACGGTGGCAGGAGGAGGGAGCGAGGGAGGCTGTGGCTGCGGGCATCTCGTGAGCCTCTCCGCACACTGTGTGTTGCCTGCTGTGCAGTGTTATTGAGGTGCACACCTGCCAACAGGAAGGGGACCGGCTCCCCCTGGAACCATCGCTGCGGAGCCCGGCTGCACCGGCGAGTCCGGACCAGAATCCTGACGCAACATCGTTTGTGCCAAAGTGGAGTGCGGTTTCTCCGATATTTACGTGTCTTGCGTTTACCTGGTGGTGTCGTGGTTACATTACTAGGCTGCGAACCGTCAGGTCAGAAGTTCGAAACCACTAGCCACTCCACAGCAAAAGACGGGGCTTTCTGCTCCCACGAAGATTGACGGCCTCGGAAGCCCACAGGGACAGCTGTCCCAGCCCTGGAGCCGACGGCAGTGAGAGTGTCCAGACAGCCGGCGCCACAAAGCTCTTCCACTGGAGAGAAAAGAGCAAACACATTACCCTGCGTCCCCACAAGGATGGGGTCAAAGGTCAGGAACACCGACAGACTCCTTTCTTTCTTTATTAAAAGTTCATTTTGGTCCCCACCCCCAGCCAGTCCTGGGGTTTTGGGGCTCGGCTCGAGGGGAGTCCCTCTGGGACATGGGGTGCAGTGAGTGGTGTGACCCTTTGCTGGGCCTGCCTGCACAGTGGGGTGTGCTGGGCCCCTCTAGGGTTTCCCCTATGGCCTCCAATATATTTCTTCCCTTTTGCTTAAAATAAAGAAAGTTCATTTTACTGGGGGCTCTTACAACTCTGATTACAATCCATAGGGACCTTCCCCTGAGAACACAATGTAGGAGCAAACTGTGCCCGTTACAAAAAGAGAACATGCGACTGTTACGGAAAACAGTGGGGCCTCCTGAGCAGATGCACCCAGCAGTGCCGGAGGCCCTGCGGTCTCTACTCTCGAGGCAAGCAGAAGGGGAGTCACAGGGACACGGCAGGTGTGTTTGTCGCAGCAATTCCCAGAGGAGCCAAAAGACGGGCACCGTCAGAAGCCCCGTCTGGAGAGGAAAGGGCAAACAAACTACGGCGCGTATGTATGTTATTATCTATGTTAACCCATGTGTGCCTGTCTATGTATGTTATTATCTATGTTAACCTCCATATGTGTTACAATCTATGCATCGATGTGTGTGCTATAATCTATGCGTCTATGTGTTACAATCTATGGACCTATCTATAGGTGTTACCATCC